GTGTGTGTGTGTGTGTGTGTGTGTGTGTGTGTGTGTGTGTGTGTGTGGGGACGACACGGGGAAGTGAATTCGAAGTGGATGAAAGTTGAAGAGGATATGCCAAAAGACAGACCATAGAGTTTGATATACAACCTACACAGGAAAAAAAATAGAATAATTTACCATAATATACCTAAAAAGTGCTCCCCCCAAAAAAAGATATTTACATATCAGTCACATGTTGATGACAGCAAGCATGAGCAGTTTCCTATTAACATTCACAAGGCTTCGAACTTGCATTTAGATATACAAATTGTTAACATTCTCGCGTGCTAAAGCTCAGATTTCCATTCTTTTCATTCCGAAAACGGATGCTAACTTTTCCCCGGAATGCCGCACCGGCAAAACGCCGGTTTTCCCTGTTTTTGTTCGACACACGTGACATGAAAAGTGACTCAGCGAGGCCAGAATTCACTAGCATTTTGAATTAGGCGTGCCTTGCTTTTTAAAATGACCTTAAATCAATCAAAAAAAAGGTGCACATTTAAGAAAAGAGCAATATACAGTAGGAATATTAATCTCAGTCTCATGTTGTATTGATTTAAATTTTACACTATTTTATGAAGACTATCTCTTTTAATTTAGTTTATGCTAAAAGTTCAAAATGAAGGAAGACAAATCTTTGTTTTTTCTTTGTTTAAACACTAAACTTTTACTAATTACATACAAAATCCCACATTTAAACCACTTTCTATAACAGGTCTCTGGGTGTCAGGGGTTTTGTGACTATAACTTCTTCAAAATATTATAAAGGTGACTTATTTGTTTCTCCCCACAAATGATATTCTCATATGTTATTGCTCTTGAGGATCCGCTCCCCATTCATTTCTACTCGTCCATCCCCGTGAGAGCTTGTTTCCCGTCCTTGGACAACAAGATGTCCAGCTCCTTCTCACATTCATTCACACAAAGTGAGATTATTTTTAAAAAATTACATTTTCTGGTCATTTTTCCTTAAAAAAAAAAAAAGCAATTAGCACTCGAGGGCACGTCAGTGTGTGGAGGAATAAAAAAAACAATTTAATTTAAAAAACACGTGTGTTTTGGGGTCACAACGGCCGAGATGAAAACACAAACCGGCTACTTTAACCCCGTAATTTCTAACAAAACCGCACGTGCATGCAAAGTGGCTTCACACCCGAGATTCCAGAGAACGGAGCGTCCTTCCCGCCTTTTTTTTCCGACCGATGCCACATCTCTGTGCCCGATCACGGGTCGAGTCCCCTGAGAAAAAAAAAAAGACACCTCAGTTTTAAAAACAGTTGTAAATAATCACCTTACAGCGTAAAGACCAAAATACAAACTCGTAAAATCAGCTTAACGGCTAGTTTTTTTGTCGTTTTACTCTAGTAAATCTCTTTCCAGTCCCCCAGATTGTGACATTTGCTGCTAAAGGGCCGGAATAACGATGCGGGAAACTTCGAATCGATGGTAAAAACGGGGTAAAAAGCTGCCGTTTGCATTTTCAAATCCCTGTCGAATGTATAATTTCGAGCCATTCGGATGAGAAAAGAAAAAAAAAAAAAGGAAAAAAAAGCATGAACTGGCTCTAACCAGAAGCCAGCACTGCAAACAGCACCTACACTGCAATTACTGAGGGAGAGATGAGTGTGTGTGAGAGTGTGTGTGTGTGTGTGTGTGTGTGTGTGTGTATCCACTAATGGCTGTATGGAAAGCGACAGTCTAAATGTTTTCATCTGTAACATTTTTATCCCGGTTCACCTCACTTAGCGAGCAGCAAACACACACACAGACGGAGAAAAAGGAAGCGAGGGAAGGAAGGAAGGAAGGAAGGAAGGAAGGAAGGAAGGAAGGAAGGA